GGCGGGAGCGCCGCCGCACTCCCAAGCGGCGCAGTGTAGCAGTGCGCCACCGGGCCGGCCCCTGGAACGCAATTCTTACTGTTCTGTCCAGTGATTAGTATAATATATTTGTGGAAGATATTATATAAAAAACATTGTTATATGGATGGTGAAATAGCAAGAGTTTTCGTTTAGAAATTAGGTCCTAGGTGTCTGAAAATTCAAATCATGGAAGAGTATTTACAAACATTTGTTATAACATGTGAGACCTACTTTTTCTTATTAAAATGCTGATTTAAAAAAGAGTTTTCTTTGTTCTGAAACAATAGTGGCACTAGTAAGGTCCTGGCTTGAGCTCAGTAAGCACACAGAGCAGCAACCCCGTTTTCCTACTGGATCCCATTTTCACATTGGGAGCAGTTTTTAAATGAAGATTACTGTATAACATCCCAATGGCACTGTCATTCTACCAAGTTCATTGTGCCAAATTTGACTTTACAGATCCCTACTTGTTTGTTTTTATATTTTATATATGCCTACTCACGGTTATGTATCATTAGTCTTTCTGTCGTAGGTAGGAGATAGAAGCTCCTAGAGAGCTTGGAACAGAGCATGTATTTTTTTTTTCTCTGCTTTTAATACTTTTTTTTAATGTGCACTTTATAATCACCTTACCCAAACACTAGCTACACTATATCCGATCAAGTTAGAAATCTTCGAGTTATCAATATTAATTATGCTGTTTTCCACACCAAGTCATCAGCAAGTCTGTTAGTAATATCCAGATACGTCAGATCTCTCCACCACACCTTCAGTGCCATTTTGTTTTGAATTCCTACATGTTTATTGCTTGTGCCTCCATGTTATGATGGTGTGTTCTCATTGTATCTTGAGTATACATCTTTTCTGCTCTCTTTTCAGGGAAAATGACTATGTCTTACTTTATTGTAAATCTTTTTATATCTACCAAGTCTTGAACAGAGAATAGGTGCTCATTAAATATTTGTGATTGACTTGTTTGCCTCAGTTGTAGCCTGGCCCTCATAGGTCTTAAAAAACAGCAGAGTTGGCTCGGCAAGAACTAAGGATGGTTGGAAGGCAGATAGGGAGGCAGCAAGTTGACCCAAATATCTTTGGGGCAGTGGGAATAAATAAAGGTTATAGCAGGGCTGTCATCACCCAGTTCTATGATTCTAGGTTTACATGCTGTGTCAAGTAGTCCCATATGAGATTCTGTGGTGTAGGTGCCAAAAGTTGCTTAATACTTACTATAGAATTTGGTTTCGGGCTG